CACTGAAACACATTTCTATTCTCAACTTTACCTCCCCCCCCACCCCCCGCCAAAAAAAAACAGGCTTAGCTACAACTTAAAATACTCCTCACCTGCAGAAAAACCAAAATCAAAACCAGAAACAACCCAGAGATGTTTGGATACCTAGAAATAAACCATTAAGGCTTCAAACTATTTCTCTCTACCATCATACTTCACTCACCCAGCCAAACTAACAGCCGTCTTGCTAACCAGAAACAGACAAAATCTAGCATACATTAATAAAGTTCATTTCTTATTTGATAGATCCATTTCTGGTAAACCTTAGAATATTTTATTTGGATTTCTGCACATTAAGTTTGGTTGGAAAGTGTAAAAGTACATGATTTAAAGGCTGCATAGACAGTATAAGCTGAATTCCTTACCTGTGGGTTTAAGAAAAGTTAATCACTAGATAAGCATGTTTAAGATAATACTGTTGCTACTTTAATTTCTATGTGGTTTAAAAGCAGCCTCATACCTGATGGCATGTAATGAGACTCCTTTCTAAGGAAACAGGCTCAGATTACTGGGTTTCTTAACCTAATCTGGCACCACTTCACTCTAGGTTTCCTTAGCGTTTTTCACTCTAACACAGTGGCAAGCTATGGAATGCAGAGACAGCAAAAAAGCTGTGGGTACCTAGCGCTTAGCAGTAGGTCTGATGCAGCTGTGGTTATTAGAAGCTAATTTACACACCTGGCCAGGACACCAGGTTTTTAGCCATTAACTTAGAAAACTCCAAAGGAATTTTTATTTTCAACTGTGACAGCTTACCTGACTTCTACAGGGAGACATTAGATATTTATTCTGAAGAAAAAAGATTCTTGCCTGCCACTTCCAAAAACACACAAGTGTCCTCAAACCAAGTTTTGTAATAGGACTTTGCCACTCAGTCTTTTGTCCCATCTATTTATTTATCAGAGGTTCACAGATTCATCAGTCCATATCGTATCAGCACTGATAATAGGAAAATTGACATTACTGGCAATCAGCTTTTTTTGGCTGATAACATCACCGATAAACGCTACGTACATGCACACAGCCACAGCATGCACACAGCCAGTCACTGGCAGCTGGGAGAGCTGTGTCCAGCTGGTAAATCTGCTGAGGGGGAAGCAATGGGTGCTGCCCAGCTGGGGTGGCACTGGGCACAGAACAAAGCAGCTCGTCCAGGGGGTGTGGAGAGGCAGGTCAGTGGTTCCCACTGCTACATGCACCCCAGGGGAGGCATGAGGGGTATATGTCCCCCAGATCTGTGTGTGGGGCAAGGGCAGGCTGCCACTGTGGGCACTGGGCTGGCATCGGGCTCTTCCAGGTGGGGTGGCTGAGCCAGGGCTATGTTCAGGCTGGACCATGGCAGCACTGGGAGGGGGTGCTATGGAGCCCTGCTCCCAGCACAGTCACCACCCAGCCCAAGCACAGCCCCTAACCAATCCCCCTGCTGAGAAGAGCCAGGCACCGCCCTGGCCCCAGCCTGCCTTCACCCCATGCAGATCCAGGGGGCACACTCCCCCATGGATGCGTACAGCAGTGGAAGCTGCTCCCCACTCCTTGCACCCCCCTGGACAAGCTGCTCATGGCTCCGTCCCGCCCCCCGCCCCGGCTGGGCAACCCCTGCCCCAGCCTCAGCCCCGCTCCTCCCCCCTCACCATGAGGTCCTCAACCTGCCCCACCACGCCCTTTTCCCCCCCACAGCAGACTTACCAGCTGAACGTTGCACTGCAAGCTGCTGGGCTGCATATTGACAATCAGATTGGCCGAGTATTAACAAGCCAGACCAGCCGATACCATCGGTATTGGCCCAAAAAATCTTTATCAGTGCACCCCTACTATTGATTTAGCCACCTATATCAAGAATGAGTATCAACCTCAAATTTCACCCAGAATATGTTGAGATGGAGCAAAAATTTAAAGTTCCTTTCAGGACATTATAAACTAAACTTGGTAAAATTACAAGAAAAAAAAACAACCTTAACTTCTTTGGCTTATTTTTGTTAATATAGACTTAAAAAACCCAAAAGTTGTTCCTCTCTGAATGTTTTCTATCAACAGTGGTCAGAATGAGGACACACATTACTTGACAGCAAGTCTTTTTAAATACACATAAGAATACATTACCTGGGGGCACTTCCCTGCCTGACCCTTGAGCCACCTGTCAATGCAAGTATACCCAAAGAGGTGTCCACACCGGAGTGCAGAGAGCCTGTGCTCCCCAGCATTGCTCCACTGCTCAAAGCAGATGGTGCAGATATCTCCCTCTTCATCATCCAAGGGTACAGTGGGAACTGTTGTATCAGGTTTCTTTAGTGGACTGGTCTAAAATAAATATAAAATGAAAATAAATTCAAACATCAAATGAATACAAGACTTCACAGATCATAAAGGTAGCCAGAGATAGCTGGTTCATTTTACCTGTTTCTGTTGGACTGTGGCCCCCTCACCATTATGACTTTCATGCTCTGCAGAATACAAAGCTCCAGGGGCCTCTGTTTGGACCTGATCAGAAGCTACAGAGAAGAGACAGGAGAAAGGAAGAACAGATTCAAACTATTACAGGGGAACCCATTACTTCATTTCTAGCCTTCTATTTCACTTCTGCAGCTTTAATATTTTAGGACACCCAAATAAACAGTTCAGTAACTGATGCCAATTACAAACAAAAGCTTAATTCAACAAAACTAGAAGGATGAATTGCATCATTTACTTTAAGCAAAAAGTAGGGGGGGAAATCAGAGCAATTTTGTAACAAACCACTGACCCAGGTGTTCATTCTGGGAACAAGGTAACAAATAGGGAACAAAATAAATAAAGAAAATCAAAGAGAAAAGTGGAACTACAAAATGCCTGGTGGAGAAATGATTGCATCCTCCTCTGTGCTAGGAGAGCAAGGAGTAGGTCAAAGTGGGATATATCTTGTAAACAGCTCCCAGGAGACAACTTTTTGCTCCGCTGTCTGTTCTAAGTGCCTTCCTTCCCCAAGGTAAGTGCTGAAGAAATCTTTTTCTAGTTATATAAAGAAGCAGAATTTCAGCACATCCAATGACACAGATGTACTTCTTAAATGGTAACCATTGCTGTATACCACAAGCAACACATTTTGTAAACAATGTCTTGTCTCCACATATGCCCATATACTTACAGACAGGAGGGAAAAGGTTGTTGTAGTTTTCAATAATTATTTTGCAATTTGTATGCAGAAAAAAACCCCCATTCCCCTACTTCCTGTAACTTCTTCCTCAAGAACAAATACTTTGTTTTTCCCCAGCAAATTATGTAAACTTTAAACTGTTCCTCATAGATGCACTTTTTATTCCTACTTTAATAATATGAGTGAAGGGTTTTTTTAGGTTTTTTTTACTGCGACTAAGGGGTTACTAGCCAGAAAAGATTGAAACACACTGATCCAAGTGCACTAATGACTTCTGCTCAGGAAAACGTGAAGGAAAGCTACATAAATCAAAGAATAATCAACCAAAGTTAGTGAATGCTTAAGAAATACAAAAACCTGGGCCAGATTTTACACTGTAAATTGGCTTAGTTTCCGTACACTAAACAGAAGTTGTATCAAGAGGACTTGAGGACCTGGCTTCCTGTTTTCAGGATAATGGTCAGTAACAGAGATCTGGGCCAGGAAGTGAAATAGGAAATAGAATAATCTCCAGGTTATTTTTTTATTATTACTTTGAAGATTTCCAAGAGATTAGATTGTAAAAAGCAGTCACATGCAGTGCTTTGGAAAATTATTCACCAGTGTGCATGATGACAAGTTTACTTGTCACCAGCTGAGAGAAGACTGATCTTAGACCCAAGCACAGCTCTACTCTAAATCCTGAAAAAAACTGTCTACGAGATGCTGCCATGGTCAAGTTCGGAAATGTAGTCTGAGAAATGTCTGCCACTTTTTGCATCACGTTGAACCCTAAGCAACACAAACCTCTCAAGCCATCTGCTGCAGGTGCCTCCTCCTGGGCTGCTGCTGTTGTACCCAGCTCTGAAGAGCTGCTGCTGTCAGAGTCACTCAACTCCACGGTTTCATCAGAGCTGTGACCTGTGTTGTTCACAGGGAGACGCAAAGTCTCCAGCAGCGGAGCTGCTACTGTTGCTGCCCTTTGGGTCCTGCTAAAACTAAAATATCTATCTAATCGTCCCCTAGGCCTGAAAAACAAGAAGAAAAAAAAAAAAAAATCACAGTATTCTTTCATATTAATATAAGCAAGCACAGGAGTTAGGCTCCTAAATTACCCACTAGTATCCTAAGAATTGTGTGTTACTTGTGCATCTTAGGGAAATAAAATGTCACCTTACATACTGATCTGAATTGCATGTATGTGCCCAAATGCTTTACAAAGCTGCATTCTGCTGGACACAATGAAGTCCGAGTCTGTCAAATCATTCCTGAGTGCATGTAATACTGTGTAGCAGGTGCTTAAGTCCATTCATACTCCACCACAATTCAATTACACTCTGGATGCACTCTGCCCACAATTTTGGGGGTTGATTCTACAATCTGAAACAATGATTAGCAACTGCTTGACATGTATGTCCCATTTCTCTTCCCTACTAGCCTGGCAGGTTATAGCACTTATCCAAGGGAGAGAAGGCCTGGAGAACCCAGGTTCTATGCTCACCTCCTTTTGAAGGGATTTGAATTCTGACTTCCCATATCACAGGGATACCACCTAACCACCACGAAACAGACAAGACAGGTCTGAGAGCCCCTTCCTGTTTAAGTTGTATTGTGGTCAGCCAGGAATGAAAGAGCCAGAAGGAAAACAAACAAGAGGGAGCTTGATTGTGTGACTTCAGGAGAGGGGAAGCAGTGGGGAAGTGAACCCTTGCTTCCCCTATGGTTTGTTAATTTCACATTATCTAGTCAGTTACCAGGAAAACTGCATAAATAGCACGGAGAGCAAGGAGCACATTTTTGCACATGGTTCATTATTTGCATGAACCTCTCTTCTTATGGGGCTGAAACATATAACCAGACTGTACTATGTGGGAAGCCTTCCAGTGGCAGTCCTCATAACTACTTCTTGCAGGAGAGGCCTCATGAAGGGCATTACCTACAACTATGCCCAGAAGTTTTCCCAGTTGCTGATAAGGACACTGTGTACAGACATAGTATGCGCAGGACCAGATTCTCTAAAGCAGTTCATCTGGAAGTCTGTACCACCATAATATCTAAGTAATGAATAAAAGATGTTGCCAAAAACTTTTGATTTCCAGGAAGGAGTCTAAACAGCAGATGAGAAGAAACTTGGTACCGTCTACTCAGATGTAAGATGGGTAGGATACATGGAGTTTGACCTCACTCATAAAGCTAGACTGAAAAGGACTTTCCACAGAGCAACATAATACAATAAACATGGCAGATCCCAGGTTTGGGGAAATTCTATTTCAACTATACCTGGCATTGCCTGTCCTCTGGGACCCACCAACTCTTTGCTGCTGGTGACGAGTTCTTCTTGTTGGTGACACCAGGAGAGGGAAGTGTTGTTCTTGTTGTGCAACTGGCTGTGTAGCCTGCAATCGAAACAACTCTAATACCCCACGTAGCCTCTGCAGCCTATCTACAGCAGATGCACCATTCAGCTGTGGGTCAGACTCATCATCTGTTTCTCCTGGACTAGGAGGAGCTGCAATGCCTTCTGTTTCTTCACCAGGCACTGGAGTATTAGCTGACAATGGTAGCAGAGAATGACCAGAGGCCTGTACAGGAAATTCCTCTACTGCTGGCTGGAGATCTACTTCCATGTCTTCCTGTGCCATTTCTGAAAGAGGCATGGAATGGGAAAAAATAAATAAATAAATAAATCAAAGAGATACAAGATAAGTGCTATTGCTCAATTGATTCCTGCCAGTATAAAGATGCAAATGAACTCCAAAAAAGTCTCTAGGATTAATAGCCAAGATACCTTGGACACCATTTCTCACCATGTTTACCTCCCTCCCATATTAACTTGAGAATTTCATATTATATTCATGTGTCAGGTGGCTGAGAGAAAAAAGCATTCCCATCCTCCTCAACTTCTAAATTTGTGATCCAACAGACCTTCTTTAAAAAAGATAATGTCTTTTGATGACAGAAATTCCTGGCTCACCTTCTGGTACATATTAAAAAACACATGATACATATGGATAATTTTTATATTTGAGAAAGTGTTTTTGGGAAATGCTTTTAATTAATAAAAAAAAGCAAGATATGCAAATCTTAACTGGCACTTCATATCTTTAATCAAAAATAATCTCAAAAGTATCATAAGGTTCTCAGATACTATGGTGAAAAACACAAATGAATATTTGTGAATAAGATAGACCCTGAGACGGTGCAGGGTCACTTGGAGGAACTGGATGCCTTTAAGTCAGCAGGCCCGGATGAGCTCCATCCGAGGGTACTGAAGGCACTGGCTGACGTCACTGCGCAACCACTGGCGGTAATATTTGAGCAGTCGTGGCGCACGGGCCAGGTCCCGGAGGACTGGAAAAGGGCCAATATGGTCCCCATTTTCAAGAAGGGGAGGAAGGAGGACCCAGGCAACTATAGGCCAGTCAGTCTCACCTCCATCCTAGGCAAAGTCTTAGAAAAAATTATCAAGGCTCACATTTGCGAGAGCCCGGCAGGACAAATTATCCTGAGGGGAAACCAGCACGGGTTCGTAGCAGGTAGATCATGCCTGACTAATCTAGTCTCTTTTTATGACCAGGTTACAAAACGCCTAGACACAGGAGGAGGGGTTGATGTCGTATTTAGGAAGGCCTTCGATACGGTATTCCACCCCATACTGGTAAACAAGTTAAGAGGCTGTGACTTGGACGACTACACAGTCCAGTGGGTGACGAATTGGCTAGAGGGTCGCACCCAGAGTCGTAGTGGATGGGTCAGTATTGACCTGGAAGGGTGTGGGAAGTGGGGTCCCGCAGGGCTCGGACCGATACTCTTCAATATCTTCATCAGCGACTTGGACGAGGGAGTGAAGTGTACTCTGTCCAAGTTTGCAGATGACACAAAACTGTGGGGAGAAGTGGACACGCCGGAGGGCAGGGAACAACTACAAGCAGACCTGGACAGGTTGGACA